CAAAGAAGAAGAAGCAGACCTGCCTGTGACATTCACTGCTCTCATGTCGGTGTCATCTGTACATTCCTAAATATCTCAAAATGAACATTATGCTGTCCTCATTTTCCCGACTGCGTGGTCTAACTCACGTGCGTAGGTAAGCGACTTAAGTTATTTGCACGCGAGGCTAACCCCGAAGCAAACAGTGTTTCTTTATGAGGCTAACATTGAAAAGCTAGCTTGGTAATCAGTTAGCAGCATGGCTAGTTGCAGTTAACCTGGATAGATACTCATGGGAACTTCTATGTAGTCAAGCAATGGCTAAACCAAACACTACTGATTTACATTTATAGGCGATGTTACGTTTAATTGCTAATAAGCAGTGTGGGCATGGGGAAAAACACAGAGTAATAATGTTTGCTATAAAGAACTTTTGAAAAACAGTTTTGGGGGTGACTGAAACACTTTTCTGCTCTAATTTTTGCACAAGTTATTTTATCCGTACAGTATTCTGCTTGCATATGTTATGTAGAGGAGACCGGGGCCAGTTGTAGCGATCTGTTATTCAAAGCGGGACCAACTTTCTTTGATCATGCTTATTATGGTTGATCAGCCTACTCTAATATAGGTGTTGTTTACTATAATGGAAGATTTTAACATGGAACCTTTTAATTGTCCCAGGTAAATATCGTATTCAAGTAAAATGCACTTATAACTCAACACAAAGACTTAAAACCTATTTTGTAGAAGCTAGAACTGTTGTAAAGTTTCTGGAAAAACAGAAATGGATGTCTTGAATGTATACTACAATAACACACACACACACACGAGTGTTTGTGTGTTTCTTTTATGAAAATATGACCAGTATATTTCACGTAGTCTGTGAGCTATCAAGGAAAATGTAAAAGATGTTATAATTGCCCCCGGTCCACCACTCTTTAAGACAACCTGCACTAAATTTTGTTTGCAAATTCTTAATTAGCCCCTTTATTGTAAATATTGAAGCAGTACAACTGATATAATGCTGTTGTGAAAAAATGAAACCGTACACATAAACTTCATTATGATAAATGGATTTACAACTTGCACGACGTTACTGTATTATTGTGGCATAATTTTGAAATTAGAGTAACATATTTCAACAACATTTTAATCTTTGTTCTTCCAACAGCATTCCCACACCAGACCTAACTGGAACCTCTTATCTTAGATCGTTCAGCAGCTGGATTGGTCCTGGAGCAGCTGCTAGAACACAGGTGTTCAAAGCTTCAGATACAATTTCTTCACAAGCTGAAGGTTCAGGAGTGTTTCAGCAGGTTCCCTGGCAGTACCAGCAGGTACGGACCCGGAAAAGAGGCACCGAGTATCAGCCCAAAAACATCAAACGAAAGAGAACCCACGGCTGGATCAAAAGGATCAGCTCACAAGGAGGCATCGAAGTGATTCTGCGGCGGATGTTGAAAGGACGGAAATCGCTCACACACTGAAAGTTCCCAATGGAAGATTTGACTTTAAAGAAACAGACCTTGGTTCTTATATGCTGAAGGTGCTCAGCATGCAGCAAAGAACTTGTGTATTGGGTTAACTGGTGTGATACTGGGTGTGGTCTGGGTCTGGCAGTTCCACAGTATTGGTCTTGAGAGTGTAAATGTGCCCTGTAGTTTTGCCCACCCTCTCTGGTCAGGGCGGTTTTGGTCAAAGTCATTAGGTGTTAGCACATTTGTGTGACTTCATTTCTTTTTCTTTTTGAGTAAACATTGTTGACTTAAAGAAAAATGTTCCTATAATAAAATTATTTTCCAGAATCAGCATGGTTGGCCTGAAAATGAAAATACCACCTTCACTTCTGTTAGTTTTGTCCTGTTTAGAATGGCTTTTGTAGAGTCGCTGTGCTCATGAGCATGATCAGTTCATTTGCAGCAAAAAAATAAGTCTGTGTTACCTTAGTTGACACAAAAAGGTATATACATTATTTATTCTGCATATCTGATAAATGTGTATTGTGCTTGAGTAAATGAAACATCACAACAGTGGCCTAAAAAAAACTAAAGATTGCCCTTTGGTTTGTACCAAAAAGCTCCTTTTTTGATATTTGACAGATACAGAGGCTCAGAATTAACTGGACGATTGACTAACAATCAGTTTTGTGGCCAGATTGGCCCTGTTTCGTCATTAGTCCGTGACAAAATCACTAAAAAGTGATCAGATAACACTTCAGTGCAAATGAATAATGACCCAAAGCATACTGCAAAAGCAAGGCAAGAGTTCGTCAAAAGGAAACAGTGTGGTATTCTTTAATGGCCAACCCGACAGGGCATGCTTTCAGGTATTATATACAAAACCAAAGGCAGGGAGACCCACAAACAAGTGGCAACTGAAGGCGGCTGCCATCAAGACCTAGCAGAACATCCCAACAAATCAGAACCAGAAGTACTTTACTCTTTTGTACTCCTTGGTATAACTCTCAAACATGCATCTAATTTAGGTCTTCATTTAGGCTGTACAAATAGTTTGTTGCTCTAAAAAAGTCCTCCCTAAAGCTAGGATCTTACTATTTATCAAATAAGAACAACCCTAGGTTTCTCTTCAGCACTGCATTCAGGCGAACAGAATCCAAGCTCTGTTGATCAAACATTTCCCTTAACCTTAACTAGTAATGACTTCATGAGTTATTTACAAATAAAAATGTAACCATTACAAAAATAGTCACAGCCATGCCACAGATGCGTTTTTAAGAACAGCAACTGCTGATATATCTTAGTTTACTTCAATAATGTCTTCCCCTTAACCATCAATCTGTCTTTTAGACCACACTGACCCCTCTTGAAACAGTAGTTGTTAAAGAGCTTGCTGCAGAGTTAGAGTTTGTGCCAAGATTTAGTGCATCATAGCACCGCACTAGTGAAAGTTATGAATGATTTTCTGGCCTCTGGCAGGGAACTTTATTTCTATGTTTTCCTATTAGACCTCAGTATTTTACTACAGAGAGATTTTACTACACACTGTTGCTTTTGCACTGCACTGATAGACTACAGTTTGGTTATGTAAATGGGGAGTCTTCACACACAAGTTAATCATGTATAACATTGACCAGTACTTTTTACATTGTACATGCTTCCCCTAGGCAACATTATTAGAAAACACTGCAAAAGTGTCCATATTTCATTCATATACGATGACACTCAGCTTTATTAAGCAACAGAGCTAGATGACACGATTCTAGTTAAAGACATAAAGGTCTGGATGATTTCTGATTTCCTGCTTCTAAATGCAGATAAAACTGAGGTTGTAGTACTTGGCCCTAAAAATCTTAGAAATATGGTCTGTTATCAGATACCTACTCTGGATGGCATTACCTTGGCCTCCAGTAACAAGGTGGTTTCATTTTTGACCACAACATGTTCTAGAGTGAGCACATCAAACAAATATATAGGACTGCCTTCATTCATTTGTGCAACATCTCTAAAATTAGAAAAATCTTTTGTCAGAGTGATACTAAAACAAGTTCAACCATTTTCAAAATCAAGATTGCTACATATCACTTAAAATCCAGAAAATCCCATTAGGCTCCACCCAATCTTAAATCATTACACTAATCAAAATATAAGAGAAGGTCATTTATTTCCTTGAAAAATGCAATCAAAAAACATGCATGACCAACACAGACTATTGGTTATAAATTGTTAATGCTACCCAGTCACATGCAAAGTGTTAAGGCCAGTGCGTGACCCACTTGCCACTGGGACACAAACTTCAATACAAGAGCAGTAAATGTCAGAGTAATGACTAATGTCACAAACTAGCTATGTACCATTACCAATTTTAATTCATACTAAATATAAATATGAAGCTGTAGGTAGTGATTTAATTTCAAACTGAACTTGTTATTGCTGCCGACCACCTGCAGTACCTTCGCAGCCCACCAGGGGTCCCCAGCCCAAACTTTGAGAATCACTTCATACATTTATGAAGACAGCGCTTCACAGTGCAAATGAATAATGAGCCAAAGAGTTCGTCAAAAGGAAACAGTGTGGTATTATTCAATAGTCAACACAACAGAGCATGCTTTCAGGTATTATATACAAAAGTGTTGGCAGAGAGACCCACAAACAAGTGGCAACTGAAGGTGACTGCAGCCAAGACCTAACAGAACATCCCAAGGTAGGCTGGACTGTCATACATTATTCTCAGGCTGTCCTAAAAACTCCCTGAAAAGCCTTCATTTAATCCCAAATAGTCTGTATGTTTATTGTCCACTACTGTATTTAATCATTAGTTATTATTAAACTCTGGCTCTTTCTCCCATAGTGTGTCTTTTGTCCTGTCTCTCTGCTTTCTTCTCTTTCCACTTACACTTAACTGGTCTTGGCAGATGGCTGGCCCTTCCTGAACCTGGTTCTGTCAGAGGTTTCTTCCTGTAAAAAAGAGTTCTTCCATGAAGTGCTTGCTCTTAGGGGGATATCTGATTGTTAGGGTTTCTTTCTAATATTCTAATATAAAACATATTGAGGCGACTATTGTTGTGAATTAGTGCTATTTAAAAGAAAACTGAAATGAATTCAAATGTTTAAATGTTTTAAATCAATTAAATTGTGTTGTAGCTCTTCAAATATGAGTTTAAAGGTAGGCTTTGTCTTGTTTTGGTTTTTTTTTGGGGGGGGGGGGGGGTGAACATTTACAGTTTAACACCCTTGCAATATTCTTAAACCATTATTGTAATTCATTTTAACTGAATATACACGACAGGAATCAGTCCGATCACTAAATTAATGTTATTATTATTATTATAGCTTGTTTTATGCTGCTGTATAATCTGCGTTTTTAACACTCCCTCCCTCTGTGTGCAGATCCCCAGAAGCTGATAAACGGTGTACGTGCGAGAGGAGTAGTGGAGAAAGTAGTGTTGTTTTTATGAGCACCCTCGTCCATAACCTGCGTCGTATTGGGGAATTTGTTCTCTACGTCATTACTTTCTGGCCAATCGGCTTCTTGCCTTTTCTCTCTTTTCCCAGACCTGTCACTGCTCAGCCAATGAGATAGGCTGGGTATCAGAAAATAACCGCCCATAAGAGACGAACAACAAATATGGAGTTTTGAAATTGTAGCAAGTTGGCGGCCAAAAAGACCCTAAATTTCGGCGTTTTTGTAGTTACACGAGTGGTAGTTTTCTACCTGACTGAAGTGACGCGATGCAATCATATCAAACGTAGTTTATGTTTTGTAGCAGGCGCCGTTGAACGGGTAAACAGTTCGGTATCTTGGCTTCGACAAAAACAAGGCTTAGTAGCTAGCTAGCTAAAGCCGTAGCATTTGCTGGTTTTCACCCTCACCGTGCTTTGCTCAATAAGAGACGAAGAGCACGACCCGGGCAGAAATGGAGAAGGTTGGTTCATAGATACTTAATTCCTGAACTGTTTAAGTTGCTATTCGTCGAATTGCTTGTTGTAGCAAGTGCGACGTGCTGTAAATAGACTGTCACATTACAAATACGTCACCTTGATAAATGTGAAGGGCAGGAGTTGTTTGTGCAACCTGCCTGAGTGTGTTTTCTATCTGGTAGTGTATGTGTGTCGCAGCTGCAGTTACACTTAAGTGTTTATCGTTTTATTTTTCTGTTGTGTATACAGAGAGATTTCTTGAAGGGACTGCCCGTCTACAACAAAAACAACTTCAGCAGGTTCCATGCAGACTCGGTGTGCAAAGCCTCAGTGAGTGATGCTTGTGTTTCTCATTATGCTCAGATGTTTTCATTTCTAATCTGAGCTCAAGAACGTTTTGTCATGTTGTGATGCCTTTATTGATGTCTGAAGCAGTTTAAACAATAATAGACTAACTTGGACCTCTGTCTTATTCTTTCTTTTTCTTTTGGTAGAACCGTCGACCATCTGTGTATCTTCCAACTCGGGATTATCCCTCAGAGCAGAGTCAGTACACACCCAGTGAATGGCCTCTAGGCTTTTACGTTCTTTCTCACAGATTGCTAAACTTTGGACTGATGTCAACTTGTCATAGGCTTATCAGTATCACCTTACAGTGTTGTGAAAAAGCATTTGCCCCTTCTTTGTTTCATATTCTTTCTTTTTGCATATTTGGCACACTTTCATGTTTCAGATCATTAAACTAATTTTAATATTAGTCAAAGTAAATGACTGAGTAAATACAATATCCACTTAATTAACTGATCATTTGTCAGGGGAAGCCTGCTTAGCCCTGTGTGGAAAAAGTAATTGCCCCAACCCCTGTGCAGGCATAAAAATCTCAAAAAGGAACACATTATAAAACAATCTAAAGAAACAGCAGAGAAACAAAGTCACTGACCTCTATCAGTCTTTGGTTACAAGCTGTTTCTAAGGCTGGGACTCCGGTGAACCACAATGACAGCCATTGTCCACAATTTGGGAAAACAGTGGTGAACCTTCCCAGGAGTGTCCCATTACGTATGGCATAAAACTAACACAGCATTTAATAAAAGCAGCATCATACCGGCAGTCAAACATGGTTGTGGTAGTGTCACGGTCTGATGTTGCTTTGCTGCTTCAGGACAACTTGCTGTAACAGATGGAACATGAATTCTGCTGTATACCAGAAAATGCTGAAGGATAATGTCCTGCTATAACTTTGTTGTGAAGCTCAAGCTTACTTGATTTATACAGCAGGACAATGATCCAAAACATACACCTCTGAAAGGCTCAAAAAAAGGTGTTGGAGTGGAGTGGACTAGTCAAAGTCTAGACTTACTGTAAATCCAGTTGAGATACTTTGGCATGATGTTAAACAGGTCGTTCATGGTAGAAACCCCTTCAATATGGCTGAATTAAAACAATTCTGCAAAGAAGAGTGGGCCAAATTACTCAGCAAGTTCACAGCAATGTGAAAGACTCATTACCAATTGTCACAGAGATTTGATTGTAGTTCTTGCTGAACACAGCTGAGACTGAGGAGGTCACTCATCCAAGTGACGAAACGTTCTCTCATTGAAAATGCTACATCCAGATGAACAGAATCAACCTTTTGGGATGTACTTACCTGGATGATTGAGCATGCATCAAGACAGGGAAAGGTGTTTTTGGATAGCTTTTTTCCTTAAAAAATGAAATCATAATTTTAAAAACAGGCAGTTAGTCAGGTTGTCTCTGTCTGACATTAAAATTTGTTTGATCCAAAACATGTAAGTTTGACAAACACGGGGGGAAAAACAAACAAACAAAGAAATCAGGAAGCTGGCAAATACATTTTCACATCACTGTATATGATGTCTCATATTGTTACTCTCAGCAGTAGGCATTAGATGTGTGCAGTCAAGTAAAATCACTTATAAAATGCTCTATATGGTTGGAGATGGCTCATCATTTAACATGTTCACTTTGACTCAAATATATTGTCTACCTATTTATGCATTTAGAGATTATTGGCTGATTCATTGATATCACAATTCTTTTTATTCCCTAAACATTGATGTCTGCATCTTCCCCAAAAGTCACTCTACATAAACACTCTGCATCTATTATGCATTTCTACATTTGTTTTCTCTTTTTGCATTGTGTGCTTTTGTGTTTCTCATGATCAGATCATCTCTGTTTTTGTTCCTCAGTCATAGTCACAGAGAAGACAAACATCTTATTACGTTATCTACATCAACAGTGGGATAAGAAGGTAAAGGCTTTTAAATATCGTTCATCTAATGGAGGAAGCAGTTTCTGCTAACTATATTGTCTATGATGGCACGTCTCCATTATGTTGTAGTTCAATGGTTAACGTCCTTTTCCTTACTCCATCAGAATGCGGCAAAAAAGCGAGAACAGGAACCAACAGAAGGGGAGAACACGGCACCTCCACGAAAAATTGCAAGAACAGACAACAGAGAGCCGAATGAAGCTTCATAAACTGCTGCGCCATCGATTCTCTGAATAGAGACTAACCCACTCAGACAAAATGCACGAGCCGCTGCAAAATACATGTTTGCAAACAAGTTTGCCACGGCTGCACAAGCAGTTTGATTTCTGACCACAGCTGTCAAGTTGTTCTTAATGTTTGGACTTGACTTTAGAGCTCCTCCTTAACCAAATACCTTTTTCCTCAGTTTATTCACTGCTTTCATGCATTGTTTTCTTCACTTTGAGGAGGCCATACTTCTACTTCAGAGGTTTGTTTTTTCTTTTCATAGTAGTCTTAAAATGATCAAACATCTACCTCCTTATTGCTCAGTCCCTGTGGTTTTATTCCACTTACACCCATGTAGTTTTTATTTAAAGATGCCAGGGATTTAAAAAAAAAAACAACAACTTTTGGGCTGACCCTTTAAAGGTTTACAGTTGCAGTAATTCACACATATCTGAAATGTGCATGTGCTGTGAGATGACCTTGTGGATATTTTTCAATCAGGAACTTACATTTTTGAATTATGAACAATTCCTGTTGTTACTTATGTCATTTTAGGTAATCTTTTTCAAAGATTACTGCTATTACAATAAGTGGAAATAATTATTTTAATAGTGGTTCAGGTTTAGCGTTAGATTCAGGGTTTGTTTTTTTATGAGCTGTGTTGCAGAAACAAGACGAGTGATTGAAGAAATGTTTTTCTCCCGATGAATAATAACTATAATGATTTATTGCCTTATGTGGAAATGAGTGTGTTTCCACTTGCGTCTTAGGGTGCCCCTTGGTTTACATTGTGTTTCAGGAAGATTAAGCACTGCAGAATTGGATGGACTTTGGTGTAAGAAAACATCCAAGCCAATATTTATACTAGAGGATGCAATTTTTACTTGTACATATTTTGTAGCTAAAATCTCAGCTTCTTAATACTTCAGCAGTTGGATCTTTGTAATGGCACCATCAGCACAGTATTTGACTGAATATGTGTAAATTTACACTTTAGCCATACTGTTGTTTTGAGGGACTACTGAGCATCCTAGATGTAAATGTGTTGTTCTCATGTGCTTAAACACGTCAGTCATTTGAGCCATGTTGAGGAAATATATTTGGATCAACAAGGTTCAGTACATACATTGCGAAGAGTGAAGCTGCTCCCATGGCTCTGCGAATCTTGTATATTTGTACAGTATGTGTATTGTGATTGCCCTCACCTTTTTATCAGGTAACAAGACTCACTCCAATTTTGTCTTTCCCAAGCTAGCTGTAGTTATCCTCAAATTGTTAAGACAACTTTTATGCTGTAGGGAGTTTCTGTAAATGAAACAAAAGCATTTAACTAATTTGCTGAGTTTTTGCACCTTAGGTAAGAAATACCTTTTGAAAAGTTTAACCTGCTACAGTGTACACGAGCCAGCCACAAATTAAAACTGACCTTATGTCATGTCGATCCCCCCTCGTACAACAGCTTTGAGTGTGTGGAATTTAAGGGATGGGTCAGTGCTTTGGGCTCTTTGTGTTGGTTGAGCTGTTCCTGGGCAGTTTGATGTTTGGCCAGAAGCAAGTGCTGTCCTTAATCCACTTATGTACTTTGTTTAAACGCCCACTTTATTTAAGAGAAAGTGGGTGATAGACTTGTGTATTTCATCTTTCAGAGGTTTTATCAGTGTGTCTGACTCATGAATGTTCACTTTCGTCGCTTGTGCAGGTCAGTGGAATGAGAGTACACGTAGATTTCACAAGTACTACTTTAAACCTGAAAGAGGCAGTGTATTTTCTTTAGCTTCATATAAGAGTCACCCATTTCTCCTGATGTCTTATGGTTTGTATTCCATCACTTGATTAAGTTTGTTGTTTTGCTTTGAGTTGATTGTATAGCTGTATTGTCAGTTTTGGATGTTCTTGTATAGATTGCTCTGTGACATACAGTAAAGATGACTCTGTAATCAGCAGCCAGTCTTTGGGTGAAACTGAAGAAAGATCCTTCTTTCTGATTGCATGTGCAAATATGCAGGTAATATACAACACTTTAAACACTTGTTTATTTTTTTATAGCTTGGCACCTGAAAGCTTTAATACCATGTTTATATAAGAGAATACACCAATGACCACTTAAGTACAGTTCTTTTAATAATTGGTTGGACCCACTTGTACCCTCAGAAATGCCTGAATTCTCCACAGCATAGATCCAACCAAGGGCTGGAAGCATATTTCAGAGGTTTTGGTTCATATTGACATGATAGGATCACACAATTATTGCAAAATGGAAATTGCTCAAATTTTCTATTGTCCAGTTTTGGTTAACCTTTGCAAATTGTAGCCTCACTTTCCTGTTCTTTTCTTGACAACAATCACACCTGCTTTGGTCTTCTGCTGTGTAGCCCATCAGCTTCAAGGTTTGATATGTTGTGCATTCAGAGATCCTGATAATTTGAGTTACTATTGCCTACCTATCAGCTCAGTTTCCAAAATACTCTAAGACCAACCTCTCTAGCACCAACAACCATGTGTTCCTTCCTTTCCCGTTCTGATGCTCAGTTTGAACTACAGCAGTTCATCTGGACTATGTCTGCATGGCTAAACAAGCAGTTGAACAGATATACCTAATAAACTGGCCTCTGAATGTATATGAGCGTTTTAATTCAAGCCCTACATCCAGCAAAGAAATTGATCCAGCAGCGCGGTCAGTCATACAGTGAGTGTTTTATTTCTCGATGGGCGTTTATTAAAGTGAGATTTATTTGCATCAAGGAAGTACATTCACTAATTTATGTAGTAAAATAATTCATAGAAAATCAAAGTTAAGAAAAATAGAATTTTTTTTTTTATGGTCACAGTGAATAAATCTGACCTATTGCGGAGGAATACAATGGCTTTGAAAGTGCTTCACAACTAAAAAGACATAATGGAGAAGTAATGCATGCACATAATGCAACATGCATTTTATACAGGCATCAAAATGAAGGAGAAATAAACACAGAATGGGAAGTTGCTGCTCGTGACCTCTGACAAAAGGGCTCATTGGTGATAAAGTCCTGGAAATTGAGGGGGGGAGCTATCGTTCACATCAATACAGTGTGTTTGGTGCTGTTGAAAACCACTCATGCAGTAATTGAACCTTCATTAAAGGTTACTCAAGCTCCATTCAAGGAGTTATGCTTACTGTACATTTTTACATGGAAGTTAGATAGTCGAGTGTTAATAGATACAGTTTAATGTTTTGTGAGAAGTAAGTTACATGAAGTGTGAAAGTCTAATCCTCGCTGACTTTACATGTGGTCCTCATGACTGTTCTCCTGCAGTGCAGGTGCATCAATGTCACTTGTATTCTGCTCTCCACTTTATAATAATACACTGGTTTGGCTGATCATTTATTAAGTCTTTGAGTTGGAGCTTTCTAAATCAGTCAGTTGTTTCGATTCAGCTTTATCTGACTCATTCGAGGGTAATTCCTCTGAGGATGTGTTTAACTCAACCCTACTGGGTTGAGTGTTAGCAGCCTGGGTGGTCAGCTGTGTCCCATTTGCGCACACCACAGTACCCTCTGACTTGCTGAAGCTGAACAGCTTCCCAGGACTGAATGTCCGGTTGGGGGATTGTGACCTCTCCTGGCCACTAGGGGGAACTGAAGAGGTCACTATTGACCCCTGCGTGGCTCCAACTGCCACTGCTGGCTCTTTTTTCACCTCAGGTGACTTCAAGAACTTCAGAAATCCCGGGAGCTTTGCTTCGCCTCCCGTTGGGGACTGAGCCGGTGAGCGTGACGTGCCGGAGGAGAACTTCCCCTGAAGAGGAATGATCTGCTTAAGCTTCATCACATTGTTGTTTCCCAGCAGAGAGCTTGGTCTCTTGGGCTTGTCCCCTGGCTTGCTTACTTGTGTTTTGTCATGGTGATGCTGGTGCTGGGTGTCTGCCTTATGGCAGTCACTCTCCTGACGGGCTTCGGCCTGCAGCTCAGCATGACGCTGAAGCTCTTCTTCTTCACGCCGGCGCCTGAGCTGCTGCTGGAAGTGTTGTTGGGCCTGCAGCTCATGCTTCTAAAGAGGGAGAAGTTTGACATTAAAGAGAGAAGATGAGGGATAAATACATATAGAAATACACATTGAAATATTATCCATTTAAAATATATATACTAACAGTGATGAAATGCAAACATAAATACAAATATCTAGATTTTTTTCCATTTTGGCTCATAGTTGTGTTGCTATCTCTATAATGAGACTTATCATCACGACAAGATGCCAACAAGACTATACAGACAAACACATACAGTTACTTCTTCATTACAATCAGAAAAGGCTTCACTGGTGTGCATTGTTGGATAATGCACACCATGAGGCACCAAGGGGCACAAATGTAGAGATATACAAAGACATGACACAGTATGCAGCCAACAGCAAGCCTTACGTTGGCCGAAGGTCTTTCAAGCTATCACAGTTATACCTTGAAAGCTTCCCTTCGTCGGTACTCTAGCTTGGCCATCTCTTCTGCTACCCAGCCAGGGATATCAGGGATGGCAACATGGATGATGTACTTTAGGAGGATTGCAAAGTGCTGTAAACCACCAAGACCACAAAGGGACACTCTCAACACACAGTTCCACCAAGGCACAATGGCATTCTCCCACTCCCGCCTGTCTTTAATATTTCTATTGAACATGTCATACAAATACCAAAAATCACAATAAATATAAGAAAATATCATTTTCCACATTTACAGAAAACAAACAAAGGTCTTCCCTGCCAAATCTACACGACTGCAAATACCTCCAATAGGACGATGGAGATGATGGTCATTTCAGGACTAAGCCAGGGGAACAGACGCTGAAGCTGCCCGCACTGACCAATAAGGTAGCAGTTAACTATAATGGCTATCAAGCCCATGGCCTCCATCGCAGTCTGGTGACACACAGGGAGAGATATTTACATATTATCAGATGCCCCTGCTGTGCACACTGGAGCCTGGAGGCTTTTCTGACATTTTTCAAAGCATGACACACACTGACCTGCCATTGTCCTATGTTCTCCACCCTCTGCCCAAACGGTCTCTGCAGGCCGGTACAGAGCTTCAGGGCATCGCTGCGTATTTCGATGATGTTGTTGATAAGGGCGCACATGGCCGCCAGCGGAAACGCAGAAGAGAAAAGCACCACATAGCCAAACTGAATGAACATCTCCTGGTAGTCCTGAAGTGTGTCCTGTCAGGGTCAAGTTGTCGTTAAGCAACAAAATTTCTATTAAATGTTAAATTATTTTCAATTTAAGTGTAGTCCTACCTCGTATGTCTGCATACAACTCTCAATCTCGGCCTGGGTCAGAGTGACAGTTTTTGGCTCTTCTGGTGGATCGATCCATGATTTCTTGTCATCATTGCCCTCCCCCACATTCCTTCTTCTCTGACAGACAGAGGTGGTATTGTCTTTGGTGTCCTGCTAAAGTAAATATTAGACTGCTAATGTAGTAACAGGAGCTTTAATTCTATAGCTTTGCATTGCATACTTTAGTTGTGATATTGTGAGATAAATGACTCTCAAACAGCACAGTGTAATATTGAGACCTTTGATACCTATTAAAGCAAAGGACGTCAATTTTGCATCTTAAAGACATACGGCAAGAATACGAAGCAGCAATAGAATCTGATACACAGTTCAATTAAGAAAACCACATACTTGAGGCAGCACTTCACAATCACTGTCCTCATCGCAGCTATCAAAAATACTGGAAGGATCCATGCCCTCCTCCACCAGCGTGGGACTGTCCTCTAGGGAGCTGTCATCCGCTGCCTGCGTGTCCATTGTGACATCCTGGTAGTCGACCTTCTCGGTGAAGCTGACTTTACGTTGCTTCATGGCACTGTCGGTCATGTCCCACTCTTCCTCTGTCAGCCTGAATCCTGCTTTCAGATCTCCTCTTCTCTTTGGCTCTGGGTTACCGTTTGCACTGTGACTCACAGGAATTCCTCTGGGACTCAGAAAGGAATAGGATGTCATTGAAGCTTGAGCCTTTCCCAGAGCCAGGCGGCCATATTTGAGCACGATTGCTTGGAGAAGCTCCCACAGCACCTTTGGAGTGAACACACCGAGCTTGTTTTGCTCATACAGGTAAGGCTGAAGGACCTCTTTGATGTTCTGTAAGAACTGGCGGAAAATCAGTAGAGTAGCTAGCATCTGTGAAGAGAAGGACGGGATCTGTTACTATGCTGAATGTAAGAATGACATCAAAGCAAGACCCAGTGATTGTTGAGTAAAAGAAAAAACAGACTCTGGGATTCATAATAAACTGGTGCTTAGTTCAAGAAATTGTGGGTGTTGCTGTTAAAGCTTTGATCTTGTATGATTTAAAGTTTAGGGCAACAAATACAGTGTTTCATTATTATGCCATGCTGTGCAATAGTCTTGAGCAACCATCAATTCTTTAAATTTACTTCTGCACCGTGCATCGTTTGCACTGTGACTGACAGGGATCCCTCTGGGACTCAGAAGGGAATAGACTTGTTTCTAATTTTTTTAAAACTGGTGTGGATCAGTAGTTCTCCAGGCTTTCTAAAGGTCTTCCAAAGCTTTTCTTTAGACATTGGCTGCTTTTTCACTCAGTCCTTGTACCTGACCAATTTCTTTTTGTGTGCCAAGTTGCAGGCTTAAAAACAATCTACTGCAGACAGACCGTTTCAGAATCATTATCATTTTGACAGATAATGGAACAAAAGGCACCCTACATCAGAAGATCTTTGAAGGTCCTTCAAGAAGCCTGGAGAACTACTCCTGATGACTGCTTGAAGAAAGCTTTCTTAGGAGAGTTCAGGCTGTACTGAAAAATAAAGTGGTCATATCAAATATTGACTTTTGAGGTTGTTGGAACAAACTGGTTT